TTATACCGCCGAAACCAGATGTTTGCATTCGCCAGGACTAGCTCGGATGTGGCACTCGGCTCGAGAAACCAATTAATATCAGACTGTGCGTTCCAGGGGCCGTGCGAACACGCTACTTATGTACTATCGAACGCGCTGTCGGATGACATGGAGACGTTCCTCGTGAGCAAAACCGTGAAATAATGGACACAGAATTTTAATTATTGTCCTCGTATATCTATAGCGATCTGGGAATAGTAGAAGGCATATACATAGTAGAAGGCATATAGTAAGGCATTGACTGGATTTTGAAAATGGATTTCCGAGACTCTTCCACTCTGGCTAGTAAGATTGACTAAGAAGTGAAGAAGTTGAGCTTTCCCACTAAAGATTTATAAGTGTTTTTTAAACGAAAATTTTCAATAAGAATTATAAGTAGATAATCAGAAGGAAATAAGAATATTTATGCATGTATAGCGTTTCCCAACATGAAAAATACATGTGTGTCATTATTACAACAGTAAAGCTTTTTGTACAGAATTCAAAATTCTGTTCCATTTTAATCTTGAGATATTAGTATCTGAAGTTTTGAATTCGCATGAACATCCGCAGTCTAGTCATTAGTGTACATTTAATCAGTTCTTTGGAAGTAGAATCGTTTACAGAACACAGGGTCGTATTTAACGGAGTTCCTAGAAATTTTCAACACTGACTAAACTCGCAGTCCAATGTAAAACGTAGGCGAGTAGAACAGAAAATTCTGGTCGTTGAAACGAGAGGGCGAGTTATTCCCGGTCAACTGGAGTTCCGAATTAATTAAACCTGCACGGAGTACTGGAACGCGCGGGTAGCGAACGATTTAATTCGATTGTATCTTTTAATTGCGCCCCGCGATACCAAAGAAAGAGTTTCCAGATTAGACCCACGGTTCGGTCGCGTAGCGCATGGAGGGAGGGGAAACGTGGAGGGACGTGGGCGAAAGAAAAAATTGTCGACCGTGTTCTCTCTGACACAGATTTAACGGAAGTACTTATGCAGCCCGGCACATTTGGAATTGCTGAAGCCTGTTCACCGGGTAGCCCCCGACGTCCGTGTGCAGACTTTTATGGCAGCACGTGCGTGTCATAAAGCGGGTGTTTCCACGAAAAAAGGCATGGAAACGAAGACAGACAGGCGGTTCTTATTTCGAAAATAAATTCTCTTCCTCCCTGAAGCCACACGTCACTCCTGTATCCGCATTTCGCGGTCCTTTTTGTCGGAAATAAAAGAACAGTTCGAACGGGAAACTCGGAAATCACTTGAACCTTGAAAATCGAAACTATAAGCAAAGGTAAATGTAAAGCTTTGATCGTGTAACTACCAGGTTTACGAACGAAATCGCAACGAAACCTGTATGGAAGCTTCAATTGTGGGTGTAAATCGAACTTTTGTAATCGGACTCTTGAAGCTTTCAAACGAAGGTAAAATAGAACACGGTAATCGAGAAATTATTCTACGTGCATTCGAAGTATACTTCACAGAGGAGTAATGGGAACAGTTTACACTGGATTGTATACAGCTTTGACACCGAATGGGAGCAGACGGGTTCCAAAGAGAAAACAGCAGTAACACGGTGTTTAAATGTCAAACAATAGAAAAGCTAAAACGAACGATGCCGTTAGGCAAGGGAAGGGAGGGACAATTTCTCAAGGAACAAAGCGGCGCTACGCAGGTGCTGCTTTTTAAGCAAAAATTCAATTTCACGGTCGGCCGCATGGCTAAATCGTCAAAACTGTGACAAAAGCGTCGGCCGTTTAGAGACTCGTGGATCCACGACCAGTGTGTCGCTGAGAGGCAGAGAGTTGACGTTCCTGTAATGGAACACACAGTGACGGGGAATTTAATTTCGCTTTGCGAATCCGTCTGGCGGTTGTCGCGTCGACAATTACCAGGTGATCGTTAACACAAGACTTTACGATATGTGTATACAGTGATGTCTGTGTACAGTAAATTCTGGATGAGTGTTCGAAGGCTCATCGAGACTGACAAAAAGAGGTCCCCAGATAGTATTAAGTAACGGTGAATTTAATGAGATTTAACACAGTGATAGAGCTTGGAGTTCTGAAGTCAATTATATTTGTTTCAACCGCATATGGCCATTAGTTTATGAATTATTTAATGTAAAGTGCTGAGGAGCCTTCGAACACTTATCGAGGATTTACTGCATATGCTAGATTTCCGAGAATTGTAAAATAAATATAAAAATGAATATAAAAGTAGTCACATTTTGTATCATTTCCATCGTAGGAATCTCAATTCTCCGACTAAGGCCATCTTGTAACAATATAATACAAACACAATTTTTGTATTATATATTATATACTATACTATATAATATAATACAAAAATATATTTTTCTTATTCCGGTAATTCAATATCTGAGGTTATACTCGAAGGTCTGCCTCGAGCCAGCAGTGCCAAAATTGATTGGGATAACGCGTGGCCATATACACAGACATCGCTGTATGTATCTACTTATTGTAACTGTACAAATTTTGAAATTTCTCTGGATCGACATTTCTGTTGTTCTGTCTCGTTGGCGACGAAGTGTGACCGGGAGAATCGGGAGAGATTTCAGGCCGATAAAAAAACAAAACAACAGTTAGCCGTGGTCTATTTTTAAAGGACGAATCCCCGGTATTGTTTCGCGGCACGAAAATGGATCCGTAGGCTGATCGAACCTTTCAATTTGACGGCGAACCGATACACGGGGCGAGACTGGGCTTTTCGAATCGCCGCGGCCTCGTTAAAGCGTCCAATCGAATTGAACCGGATCGAGGCGCGCGATGTTGATTAAAATTCTCTACATTAATTATCGAGCGTTGGATTGGAACACGGGAACGCTGGTTAATTGACGACGAATGGGGTATCGATGATTGCGACGGGGATTACCGGTCGAGAAATCGAATCCGGGGTTTCGAAAAAAGTGCCGCGCGCCGTTTTGTCTTCGGTACACGGAACGAGTAATTCGAGCTGCGGACAGGTAATCGAATTCATCGAATTGCTACAGTTTATAGAAAGCGGAGTTTAGTGCGGCTTTTTTTGGTAGGCTGGGACGAAAATTCGGAGGGAAATTTCATCACACGGAACCACGGATTTTCGAAGGATATTCTTCCAGTTTGTAGGATACGCGAGCAATTCCATTACGTTGCTTCTTTAAATATTTACACAATCTGGTGGTAATAATAAATTGTATAAAATACATTAATAACTGGGGGATATTAACACTAGAACCACCGACTATAAATGTATATATCAATTTCTATCAGATCGATAAAGATGACGAACTTTTGAAAATATACAAATTTAGAAGTTAACTAAATTCCTTCACTTAGATATTGCAATAAAAGTTGTAAGAAATTAAGAGAATGCATTGTTGTTAGATTTCTATCATCGTTGTAAAAGTTTACTACCTAGTCATTTTGATTGCTTTGGTAGTTCTAGTGTTAAAGTCGATATAAGTAATAAGGGGATTGTATTCTAAGTAGAATCAGACATCAGTGGACAGACGCGTTATTATTAGGTGTACAAATTAATTGCTGGCCTTTTCACAGATTTGTCGTTTATGTTCAGAACAAGAAAACAAAATACAATCTATTCTTGGAAATATTTCCCATCCCTTTCTACACATTTACCCAATTTCTCGAGCAGTTCTCGTCTCGAAAAATTCATGACGATTTTGTGTCCATAGTAAACTGTGGGGCCCACGACTTAATTTGTGCACCTAATAAATCAAATGAAACGTGTGTGTCCTCTATAAATGTTTACTATCACACTATTCCTCCAAACAAAGCCCAATGAATTTTGGTATAACAATTTTTATTTATTTGTTCAAAGGGAATCTATCAGTACATGAGAAATTCGATTCCTCGGTCCGAATCGATCCACGAGTCGCGTCGGAAAATTCCGTCGCTTTTTCATTGTTACGTAAACCGGGCTCCGTTCAGAAAAACGCTTTTGTCGTTCTAAAATTGACACGGTCCCGATAGGCGCACTGGGCGAAAGGAATTCTTAAGAGACGTGAAACGGCGACGCCGCGGCGGCGTCCAAGAGATTTGTGTGGAAAGTTTGGCAAAATTGAGACCGTGGGCGAGCAGGCTTGATGAGCGTATCGTGATTTATGCGGTTCATTCTCAGGTGGGGACACGTCGGAGTTCATATCGAGGAACAAACGCTGAGAACTTTTCGCGGTTTCCGCGCCAAAGAATCGCGTTGTCGTCGGTTCGCATTCTCCATCGTTGTCGACTGGTATATATCGTTGGATTTATTCGCGTCGTCTCGCTGGCAATTTCGATTCACGGTACTCGAATGATGATTCATATTACGGTGCACCAATGGAAAAATTCCACGCCGAAACATAGTCTTGCAGAGGAACGTTTCAACGTAGATGAAGGTAAAACGTAAAATAGTCTACAAACTCATTTGGAGTCGGGCGACAGTGAAATTGTAAGCTTGAAAAAGAGATATTCGTATTAAAAAAAGAAACCTTTAATATCAAACGTGTAGCATATTTCCACTTTAATTTTCATCACGGTTATACCGATGGAAACAGTGGACTGGGTCTGAAAATATTTATTGCTAGGAGACATAGGGGAGCCTACTTACAACTATAAAGTTATTATACAATTTCGTAAGAAATAAAGAATTTTTTCAAAAAATACGTATGTGGTAAAAAGTACAATTTAAATTTTCTGTTAAGTAAATGCATATCTTTTAGTAATTACATAGGGGACTTGTAGATTACCGTAGGACTTGCAGATATTTTTAAAGTATGTAAAAAGAATCAGAATGTTCGAAGTACCAAAGTTCCAAGTACCAAGTTCCGATGTTTCGAACCGCATCGAATACAATTCGTCGAGTAAAATTCAACTCGAAAGTCCCGTCGAAAAAATTCGAAACTTGGCACGGTGCAACTAGATCGTCGCGATGTTGGCGAAAATGGGGGTTAGCAAAAGGAAAGGTGACGATCGAATAATACCAACCGGAGAGAATCGTGACAGGCAGGGAGGCGCAGATGCCCAGATACACAAGCAGCAACACTGTCCAACCGTGACGGGGCTCCTGGCAGAAGTCCAGCTCGCTCGGTAGGCCACCGATTCTTGGCCCCTTCATCGTGCCTCATAGTTTTCGTCCCTGGCCACGTAAACGACGCGCGAGCGTAACACAGAAAAGGCGACTTCAATAACGCCTTCCCTCGAAGTAGCTTCTTCCTTCCTTCCGTTTCTTCAGACGGGCAGAAAACTAAAATTCCACTCGGGAACACTGTGACGCACACGTTTTCATCGTGGACAAAACGTCTTCATCGTGGACAAAATGTCTTCATCGTGGACAAAACGTCTTCATCGTGGACACAAAGTTGAGCACTACTCCGCGGCACACTCGAGCTTTTCAGCTACAGGAAACTTTACGTAGTTTATTTATATAGAAAGAACTAGCAGTCTGTTCCCGCGAAAAGATAGCTGATAAGCACAAGAAGAAGTTCTGGGATAAGGAAGAACCAAAGCTGAAGGTCCAATAGAAAATAGCGTGCTACGTTTTTACCCGGAGCTAGTGAAAGGGACCAACGCGAGATAAGACCTCATTTACCTAAGGCTCGCGTGGGATCCTTCCTTTCGATGCACTTCCGACGTTCCCGGTGCTCCCGGAGTAATAGTTTTTAACTGCATTTTTATCTCTTAATAACGTCTACGTGGTTATGCTCGTGGTAACGGCGCTGCATCGTGATATCTCCGCGAGATAGAGTTCCCCAGGCGAGAGGATCTAGCGAATGGTGGTCTGAAAAATGGAGAACACGAGGGTAGGTGGAGGGATTGGTACGCTGTACAGGGTCGTTCGTGGTTCATGGGGAGAACTTTGATGGTCCTCAGGTGTGAAGGAGACACACGACCGGCGGCAGGGATGGTTTGATACGAATTATGCGCGAGCCACCTTGTTTGAGTTTAATTTCCGACAAATATCGTCCGGGTTAATTGAATCTAAACGTGTGTCGTTGGAATTAAATAACGAAGGGTAGAGAGCGGACGTGGTTGAATGTTTTCGGAGCGAGATTGTTAGCGTCGTGATTTTCACGAGAGAAAGATTAAATTCGTGGTCGCCGGTTGGTTTGATTTAAATCTCGAATGGGGGGAAAATTGTTACGAGAACGAATCTGAATTACATCGCGATTTATGGAATTCGATTTAATTCACGAAATGGGCTATCCACTAGAGAATGTGTACTTTGTTTATTTTTTACGAGAACACCTTTGTAGCGATTCTTCTTGTTTTTTTTTCACGGGATTTTTAGGTACAGGAAAAAATTCGTGCGGTTTTTCTTTTAGTAATTAACTCAGATCGAAATTCGTGCAGTAATTTGCAACTGTACTGCGTAAAATTGGTATCAACGGAAAGCTTGATCTATGTAGTTGATATACAGTAAATCATCGATGAGTGTTCGAAGGCCTCTCGACACTGAATGTTATATATTTTATAATATCATTGTTTCAGAATTCCAAGCTCTATCACTGTGCTAAACCTCATTAACACTTTCACTGCCACGTCGCCCAAAAAAGGCTGGATTATTTAAATACCGTAACAAAATTTTTGCGTCACATTAATATTACAAATTATACGTAAAATAGATAAAGTATGTCTGACTACGTACGACCTATTTCACTGTGGCAGTTAAAGTGTTAAAAAATCACTTGGAGACTTCTCATCGAGGAATTACTGTACTTATAAAATATTCTACGTTCTTCTAAATAGGAACGATTTCAGATTGCTTTCGATGCGACAGGTCGGTGCCCTAAGACGACAACGAGTTTGGATCGTCTTCCAATCCGAAGAATTAATTAACCAAGCTGATGGAATTACCCGCTAGGATCCGTTTTAATCCGTACTCGTCGGCGTTGATCGACTCGCGACGCGTTTCACCAGCGCAATGAATTCGTAAGGATCCAAGCAGAAGCGAACGGATTAATTAATGGTGTATCCGAGACGCCGTCGACCATTTCCAAGACGGAACGACAACTTTATGGCTTCCTAAGAATTTCGGCGGTTTTGACTCCTCAAAGATGAAGTAACTCGTGTACATTCTATTAAGAAAAATCGTCCATCCTGCGGGTAGCTTCGTCGACACGCGCGTGAATGCCTATAATTCACGAGTACCGAAAAACACGACACTCTCGTAACACATAGCTCGCGGGACCATTGGAAATACGGGGAAAAAAGTTGCCCCATTCGCAGCAGGATATTCGAAACCGATAGAAATTGCAGCAACCGTGATCGGGTAAACCGTTCCCGAAGCGCTTCGATGAAAAAAAAAAAGAAAGAAGAAAAATAACAATTTTCGATCCAATTTTGTTCCGTTCCATCCACAGGACTTTGACGAGTTCGAATCGTTTCTCCCCCGAATATAACTGTCGTCGCTTATAATGCGGCTGGTTAACAGGAAGTGAACGTCGTCGTTTGGTATTTTCGACAGGGGGAAAAAGGCTGGCCGGTTTTACGAGTGGCCGTACGTCGAACCGTAAAAATTGCCGTTGGAAGATTTCAAGCTTCCAAGCCCCCCTCGGTGAAAAAGCTCTGCGGCAACGGTTGTCACCGATGGCGCAATTTTTCCTCCAATTTTCTATAAATAGAGACGTTTCTCCAGCTCGACCGTAATGTGGTGGGGCGATCGTTTTCGAGCTGAATAAATGAAACAACGTCGGAACGGTAACGGACGAGAGTCTAAACTCGAAACGAAATTCGATTTACCATCGGGGAACGTCGTTTTTCCCGACCCAACGGGGCAAGTTTACGTTTCGTCTTATATTTCTTTCAGGTGCGTCATCTGAAAAGTTACGCCGTCGAAGACGCGCGCGCGCGACGTAGACGGTTGTTGGGACATCGACGGATCAATTTTTCAGACGGTTGTCTCGGGTACGCGAAGGGTCGTTTCCGCGGAACAATGACAGTGCTGATGCCAGCCGGTCGCAAATTATCCCTGCAAGGTATTATTAATTAATCGGCTTGTTAAGACACGTCGCGCGGCACACAATGAAGTGCGCACTGTTGGGCGCCCTGTGACGTTAAAGCTGCATATCCACTTGGAAAAATTACTTTGTGTATTACTTTACTGGGATTATTTGTGTACTGTTGCATGTAACGAGAATAATTTCTATAGGAATTTAACAGCGTGTTACAAATCTCTCAACTGTTGCAAAAGGAAATGATAGATATGAAGACACTAGGTAGAATCAGTCATCATCACGATATTGGCTCACTTTGTAGTCTCCATACAATGGAAAATGTTAGGCATCTGAATTTTAAATATTTGCTCTTGAAATTTCCCACTTGGTAAAAAAGAAATGAATAAATATAAAGAAACTAGACGAAGTGAGTGGTCATCACGATATAAGTTCTCACTTAACAATCTCTATACAATTGAAAATGTTAGGCATCTGAATTTTAAATACTTGCTCTTCAAATTTCTCACTTGGTAAAAAAGAAACGAAAATGTTAAGCATCCGATTGTACCCAGAACTGTCACCATCATAAGGTTCGAAGAACACCGCGACAAGAAATTCTTTTGGGAAGAAAATTTTCAACGTACCAGTTTCGGGGAAGAAAAATGGCCCGCAGTTACTCCATCGGAATTTAGGGTTGCGTTACGAACGTACGAGCCCGCGGTTGAGGATTCCCGAAGACGGGTATGGGGAGGTTTAGGGGAGGGAGTTACGCGTTGCACAGGTGCGCCAGCACCATAAAGCTGAGGGGGAACACGTAAATCGCAATGGTGTGTGAATGTGTGTGTCTCTCTGTGTCGGTGTGGGACTTGCGAGGTTGGGTGGACGCGTCGCGTATTCTCGCGCGAACGTACGACGCTCTGCGCTACGACCAAGCTGGGAATAACGAAATTTTCAGGAGTCGCTAGAATTAAAATTCAAACACTTATACGGTGTACCAGCCGCTCGCCTTGGGGATCGTGAAAAAAAAAAAAATTCGAACAAGAGAATAATGTACCGAGGGCAAAAATTCGTATCGCTAAATTTTAATTCCCTGTTTCTTTTTTTGTTTTCTTTTTTCTTTTACATTGCGTAACCCGTCAAAATATTTTCCTACGTTGGAAAACATTCCGTTGGAATTTTGTATATCGCATTTTATATGTTCCCGTTCGATTTACAGCTCGGTCGAAGTGTTCTACGACGTTTTCGATAAATATTCAATATTCCAAATTCTACGAGAGCGCAACTGTTACCGATATCTACCGGTCGTACGCGAGATCCGGAGATTTCGCGGTCCCCATTGGCAGCCACACGATTTCCCACTTTAACGGGGACGTTATCGTCACGTAATAAAATCGGAAGGGAAGATGATAAAGGATCGAGGCACGCAGCCACGTTTTACGTCGCGAGCTGACGCCGCGGTTAAAACCGAAAGTACACCCGGCCACTTAGCAACGTGCTTTCGGGACGCGTGGACGATAAAAACGCGTGGTGTGTACAGATGTACATCGTTTTAATACTCGTAAGTACTTAAAACGTAAAGTAATATTTATTCCAGGAATGTATATCGGGTGCTTCGGAAAGTACGCAGCGTTTTTAAGGGCAGAGTTACAATCTATACTTTACTATTTCTTTTTTTATTTAATATATCATCTTATTCATTACTTTTATTTAATATATCATACGTTTCGTCGGTATTTTTCAAAGAAAACGAAGAAAAACGACGTGTAACGTATACAGAAAATACACTCAATGGAATAAAGCATCTGTTCACCGGATCAAACGATTTTTATTTAATTCATTCGGTAAAAAGGTAACAAAGTTACCGTGCTTTCAAACGACCCAGTATATATAAATCTACAGGAACGATTAAATATCCACTGAACAATCATCTGAAAAGAGAATTCTCCCTTGCAAAATCCGCTCAAATGAACCTTTCAGAAGCTTAAAACAGCCCATACATTACATTAATACGATGATAAATAACAATTCCATCGCCTGGGGTGTCGAGTACAAGCCCTTCATAAAGATCTTCCGCTTTTCAAAGAACACAACCCGAACATTACACACCCACGCAAAGTGATTAAAAAGATTTTCCATTACACAGCACGGTAGATTAATTTCTACATGAAACGTTTTTAATTAC